CTGTTTAAAATACACTCTTTTAGGATTTGCTTGTAAGAACTCACTTAGATTTTAAGGTTTCTAATTCGTAATCACTTATCAGGAAGCGACCCATAGCTTGGTTATTTTGTTTTTATTTGATTTGCGATTATTACCGAAACAAAACATATGGTAAATAAAATTTAATCTGTGGATGCTAATAGTTAGATAATATGTTGTTTTAAGTACTACAGTGACCTCATTCAAAGGCAACCAACAAATGGAAATATCAGACGCTCTGTATGTTCGCTATTTTTCATTATGTGTCGTTTCCTTTGTATTGTATTGTATAGGACCTTCAGATATTTTTTTGCTTTATATTAATTAAAATTTTGTGAATATCTAACATTCTTCTACAAATATTTTTCATATTCGGGCAACAGCAGAAACCGAAATTTGCTAGAGTAATTTAGTTCAATTTACAACCGTAAAACCTTATTTTAAATATTAATAGAATGTTTCTCTATTGAAGGTTCATTTTAACAAATACTTTGTAGGTAGAAAAACAAGGATATAGTTCAGCATATTTTGTATTTTGGTCAATTCAATAAGTTTTGTGAAGACTAACTGCCATAATCAGGGTCGGTAAATAGGTAAGCTGTTAGGTAGCTCTCCTTACATGTTATACAAATATACACTAAAAAAAACTGTTTAAATAACCATTATAAGACTCTGAGTATGGCTGTAAGAATCCAATAAATACATTACTATACTGTATTGATCCCGATATGTAACAGTTTTACTGAGTTATCGTAAAAGCATTGGCATTCTGCACATGCAATGCCGAAGTGCTTTATAGTTCGCAGAACTTAGTTGAAGATATTTGTTGCGGGATGAACCTTAATCGTGAACGCGATGGGAATAGAAACAATACTAAGGTATGGGACTAAAATGCTCTATTTTATTAACAAAATATAACATTTACTTGGAATCATATTAGTAAATGTTCTATTCCTTGACTATGCACAATTTATCGCTCCACCTCGTTGTATCAACGATAATTACAATATTATTTTGGTTTTCGAGGGTCTCTTTTTTATCTTATCTTTTCATTGACAGTTTTTTGAAACAAAATATTCATAAACATAATTAATACATTTGAAAAGTGAAACGAGAAAACTTTATAGGTAATTACAAGAGAGAAGGTCAGTTGTGGGCGTTTTAGGCGAAGGTGTATCGACCAGATTGACGACATACTAAAGAAGGGCCGTAAAAAGTGCCCGTGAGCGACAAGGCGGCGTAAGATAAAAGCGAACCTTATCTCCCCAAAACTGTAAAGGCCACTGGGACAGTGCTTTAAAAAACAACTTTAAAAGGATGCTATGAACTTGAACTTTAATGTATAGATTAAATAAAAAGACGCAACTTTTATAAATATTTATTAAAATTTTAATTATTTCCGTAAAAAAATAACGGTTAAGATTTTTATTTTAGTTCTCGCGTACCGATTCACCGATAACGAAACGGCTTCCGGTTAACGCAGCCGACTGGAACTTTGTCCGGCCAAAAAATCAAACAATGGTGAATAACAAACAAGAAATAATCTTCACAGAGCTCGTCAGAATTATCAAAATTATTCCATGAATTACTTGACGCATTATGACTTACTTGTGCTTAAAACTATAATAAGTACTACCAGTCATTCGTCGAGTTCAAAACATACAATGCGTTCACACCTAATCGTGCTCCGAAACCACAACAATACAGCAAGTTTTATTTCATGTTTATTCAATTCCATTTTGAAATATTACGTTGTGCTACGACAACATGCTATACGTTAAAGTTGTAATAATCTAATATATATAAAAAGAAAGTCGTGTTAGTTACACTATTTATAACTCTAAGGGCTTTACCGATATTAATGAAAATTGGTGAGGAGGTACCTTAGAGCCAGTAGACGGACATAGGATACTATTTGTTCTTTTTTTTCGAATTTATGCCTTGAAGAGCTGCTTTTTATTTAACTTACTAATATTATAAAAGCGAATGTTTAGATGGATGTGATGTGGATGGATGGATGGGTGTTTGAAGATATCTCTAGAAAGGCAGAACAGATCTCGATTAAATTTGGCATACGTATAGAACATAGTCTGAAAGAACACATAGGCTACACTAATTAAGTTTTTTTTATATTTCCACGCGGACGGAGTCGCGAGCGACAGCTATTTTTTAATAAGTTGTTTCACCATATACTCATGAAACCAGAAACACTTTTAAGCCTTACAATTTTGACTTTCTTGTACTCTACAGCACTAAGCTACATACTGATTCCTTTTTAGATGTTTTTCTTTAACCCTTAAATGGACAATGTTGTTTTTAAACAACATACTAAACATCACAGATAAAATTATCTTTATTTTATTTTTTTGTTAATTTTGACAACTAGTTCTTATTTCTGAACGAATTTTGTACTTTTTTTAATGTTGGCACTATCCAATATTTTTATGCATTAAAAATAAATGATTACACAAATATATTTTTTTAAAACGTAAAAAAAAAATCGTCCATTTAAGGGTTAAATATATTTTTTAATTAAGGAAAATGATATAATAGACGCTAGCAACAAAAACATCTGTTGCAGGAATGGGCTGGCTCTACCGGTGCAATACCACGACCTCTTCTTGTTCTATTAGTATGCTGCTATCATATTAAATATCACAGTGGCTACTCCAACTCGAACAAAATATTATATACCTACGTGATACGTGCAAATCTTATTAATTTGCACTATAGATTAACGTACACAAATAGTTAAGTGGGTCACTACGAATTAAGGAAACGATAAGTAATAGAAACCACATTGTATCAGGAGTGGTGTAAGTCACAGCCAAATCGTGAACACCGTCTCTTTGTAAATTGCCCGATAAGTCATAAAGACTCGGCAAATTACGTAATCAATTTATTTACAAAATTACTTGTTATATTGATTGCGTTGACACTATGTAAGAATGGTACTTCATTTGCTGTAATTTTCGGTGCAGACAATAAAGAGTTGCAAGTAAGCACTTGTGATGGTACAAATACCAATTAAATGTCACCTTTAAAAATTCGCTGAAATATAAAACGTAACGTTATGAATGAATTCGTTTGACAAACCATTTGTCGAGTCAATACAATTTTCCTAGGCAAATTAAAAATGTGCAGCATACAGGATTTGCTGGTTACATACATACCTCGCCGTATGGCTTGCCTCGCGCCTTGCTCGTTGTGCGTCGCGTGCCGTCGGCCGTCGCAGGAAGCACGCTCCGCTACTCGACCCATGTTGTCCACCGCGACTGTGACTTGACAAATACCTTATACGATGTAGGCCACGTACAGATATTATATCAGAATTAATATTATCAATACACTGCGACAAGCCTTATCCGCACGTTGCGTAGAATTTAAATTATTATACCATGACACAGAACTAATAAAGAAAAATATTGTTATTTTATTACCCCTATATGTGTTACTGCCCTAATATTACTAACTTTACAAAAGAATAAAAATATTGTTTGCTAAAGTTAAACTCTTTTAATGGTACACTGCTTAAGCGATAATTTTCCAACTGAGGGAGTCAATGGTCACAAAAGTACTGCCGTTGTCTTTACTGGTAATAAGTAGAAGTAAAATAGCGTCGATAGCGGCAACTATCGCAAGTACTAGATAGTCGTTCGCAATAAAAAAGAACACCTGTACAGTCTTCCTGTTAAACGTTTTATAAAGTGTGTTCGTTCAACTTTACGGTAAATAACAATATATGCAGTATGAATATGAACAATGGAAAACATTAAGTCAATGACATTAAGCCAGTTAACATTTTCGTATGTGCTTATTAGTTGAACAATTAGTTGTTGAAATGAGAATCATTTTTGGTTAGAAACCCCTTAAACTTAAACATGTATGTATTGTCTAGAATAAAAAATATATCATAAAGAAGAATTAAACACAACATTACGTTTACATTTTTTTAGAATTATGCGAAAGTTTAATCTGAAAAACGTTCTAGTTTTTTTAGGTCAAGGTCGTGTGTGATTATTTATTATTATTAAAAATAACACAGACTGACAGGAAAACGACGCAATGTATACTTTTCAATTTGAACATTCTGACTTGTGTACACAAAACATAATGCGTCAGAAATGTTGAACAGGTTTATAAAAACGTCTGCTTAAAATCATTCATTCTCAACGGTTGAATGGTTTCTAATAACATAGGAAACAGGGTAGGGGGACGATGCGCAGGTATACAAGTGTCGTCTTATTAAAAGGGTCCCTTATGTTACAAGTGGCGCTTTCTGGAATCCTATTTCTTCCCTTGTGTTTTTAATAATACCATAAGTTGTAAAACTGCAACAAAAACTGTTGCGAAATCCATAAATTCGAAGCTTAAAAAATTCGTTTTTAAATATGGAAACCGTATTCCAAATATTTTTTTTTAAATTGTAGACTATACACTAGTTCAAGCAAAGTTATATGATATAATGAAGATAAGCTTAAGCTAAGAGGATCAGAATTGTGCCACCATATTCACCAGAAGATACGCAGCATTACACACTTCTACTTCACGGCTGTCTTCTGTGTGATCGTGGTATTTTATTAGTCCAGCATGCCATTCCTGCAACATCGAATCTTGCTACGGACTCTACCACTTTACAAATATCGCGCACAAAAAAATTATAGTCTAAAAATATTACTAAAATATCTAAAGGAGAAAATGTAAACAGAAAGTGTTAGCTTAACAAATTTAAGGTAGAGTTCATTGAATTACAATAATAGGTGCAATTCGTTTACTTATCACTACCAGGAAGTCAGTCAGGTATCGGCACCTCAAAACGTTAGTGTTATCAAATATTGACGTCTCTTTTCTACGTATGTGTTAGTATATTTTTTCCTTGTCAAAAGCAAACCCTATTTACGGTGTACGAGCAGCAAAAACAATTTCTTAACGCGCGCGTACCTACGTATTTTGAGGTTATGTCAGTGTTAATCTGACGGCGTTGTCGGACGAACGTATTGCGAGTTGTCGGCGTATTGTCGTGTACCGTGTACTTGTGTATTGTACTTAGGGATCGATATAAATTGAGTGCATTGTAGTGTATTTTATTAGTTGTTATTTTATATGATTGAACAGGAATGATCGTTACTTTTGAACTAAAGTTACAACGAATCTCGTATGTTTTGGATTTCAACGTTACATTGTGATGTGAGTACTAATTTAAATGGTTTTTTTTTGATAATGTGTTATTACCTATTAATCTTAAAGTAATATTTGTTTTGTTTTGTTTTAAGTATAATTTCTTTAATTACTTACAACATGTTTGTTTAATCATCTTTTTTGTAAGCAAATAACCGTTACGTTTAAATGATCAATATAGTGTCTGTTTGACTCCAGATTGATTTGTTACTGGATATGTATGTTTTTTTAATGTTGAAAACATTTAATTCATTTGGAAATTTAATACGAATTATCATTAAACATAAAAATATAATTAATTTAACAAATTCTTTCATTATTTAACTCTTTATAAAATTATACAACGAAGTTTAAACTTGTGCTAAAAAATTTGTATAGAATATAAGGGGTTCCTAGTTTCTATCCGACTCGACGTCCCCTTGTCCGGCGTCCCTCGTCGGTTACACTTGGCAAGTCAGCTCTATCGAAACATTGAGGGTGGATTAATCACCCTTAAGGCTTTTGTAATAAAGTGGATATTTCCTTAATAGTGTTCTCTTAGAGCTTAGGGCCCGTCATCGCGGTGCATTCGTGCTACACCCTCGGTTTATTAGCTTTATCTTATGCGTGCCGCTGTTGTCGCGGCTGCAACAGCCATTAGGCGATTAATTCATCGTATTGTTACGACATTCATTGTTGTGCAAATTACAGCTGGATATATTTAACCGCTTGAACATAAAATATAAACGTCTACACCATCTTGATAAGCATTATTCGAACCGTTTAATATCCCTAAAACGTACTATGACTAGAATTGTCTTAATGTTACCTACTAGATACAATTCCCGCTGTTCGGTCATTGCTCTTGTAGAAACATAACAAATTAGTATAGACAATTATGGGTAAAGTGGTGCGTCATAGTGGCGTCCACTTTTCAACGAGGATGTTAATTTATTCAATGGCGTAAAGAGTTCACGCAAACTAGCTTCCTTTAATAAATGTGGAGAAGCGTGAATAGCTCAATTGTTAAGCGTTACTTACATTAAGACTGTAACCGCTTCAATTCCTAATTCCGTTCTATCAATAGTTGTCGTTTTATGCACTTGTATTTTTATAATACTAAAAACCATTTTTAAGTATTATCTTTTTACAGACCGAAAACATTGGAGTTTTGAGATCGTTTTGCATTTATATATTAAAAAAAAGCAATAGTTATTAAAATAACACGAACTTAAATACACGTTTATAATAAATAATGGTCCATTAATTAATTAAATATAAAATATAATGAGTCATAACACCGCGCCGTTGCCAGAAATTAATCGTGGTTCACCTCAAAAGGAAACTGCATTCATTAAAGTGGACAAAACAAAACTCAGTCAAACGGGCCAGCTGTGTGGGTTACTTTTATGTCCGATTGATCGAATCATAAGAGAATTAAAGTAAAATACAGTTAGGTGTATTCACCTGTCTCGAAAAACACAACTTTATTTCTATATTTTACATTTGTTAAAATTTTAACTCCGACTAACTTGTGAATAAAACTTTTCTTGAATCATTAACCTCCTTTTTGCTGCTAATAAATAAAACAAGGTCCTCCTCTTCAAAGGTTTTGGTCGAGATTTGAAAATCTCTAAAACCACAAAAGTTATTTTCACTTGGACTGATAACGAAGATTAAGGTTGGGATATTTCGTTATTATTTTTGGAAAAGATTGTGCGATTATGAGAAAATATTTAACATCATCTAATTTATAAGGTTTTATTTTTATTAGTCGTTAACACGGTCTGTATACCACGGAGAGTCCTCGCATACGGGCTAACGATAAAGACTAATGAAATAGGCGTACTTTATCGCGGTCTGTGTACGTCATGGGGTTATTACCCGCATGCGGGGTAACAGCCAATGAAATTCATCGATCGGTGTAAAGAACGCGTCGTGCGGGGTGCGGGTGCGGGGACTCAGTTGACGAGTTTTATTTGACCCGAACTGACGCTGCGCGGGAACATAATGGCTGATCGTTTTACCGAAGTACAAATGCTGAAGCTGGTAAAAATATATCGAGATTATCCATGTTTATGGAATGTTAATAGCGAATTCTATAAAAACAGAAATACGAGAGATAGTGCATACAAAGAAATTTGGGAAAAGTTAAACATCCCTGGTCTCTCGGTCAAGGATATACCGAAAAAAATTAAAAATATGAGGTCATCTTACTATCAAGAATTAAAAAAAATCGAAAAAAGCCGATCAGACGTTGGTCAGGATTCTATCTACCAGCCAAAGGTTTCGTGGTTTACAACAGCTGATGGATTTTTAAGGATGGTCAGGAATAATCAGGAAACATTCGCGAATGTAAGTAACATTTTATTCTATTAATTTTTGTTAAATTATTGGATTTGGAATAAAGGATTAGAACACATCTTCTCGAGGCGCCATTGCATTTATGTATACGCTACGGGAATTGTACGAGCGAGTGTTGCAATATGGCGCTCAGTGTTGCCCGATTAAGATTATAATAGTTACCATATTTTACAAAACAAAAACAATATTGGGTTTGTATTGTACGTATAAAATTACTTTTTTTACTGGAAGTAGCGATTGTCGGTATGACATTTATATTTAGGATATTATTGGATATATCACGTCAGCATTTTTACAAGCTTTCCTCATGGCAAAGATACAATCAGGAAATTGACATTTCAACTGAAATCGAATTTCCATTTCCTATTATTTTTGCACCTGAATACAAAACATAATGCCATTAATATTTTGATTATAGATTGATGAAAATTCAGCTTCAGACAACTCTGAAACACAAAATAACGAATACTGTTTAAATGAAGATAATTCAAATGCTGCTGCAGATGATATAAATCATTCAGATGATAATAATGAAACGAATAACGATGATAATCACCAATATGAAGAATTTACTATACCATTAGTGAAACCATTAAAAAAGACGAAAAAGAAAAAAGAACAACAAATATTTATAGCTATTGAAAGACTAGATAACATTGCCAAAGCGGTTACAAATACAACGAATTCTCTAATAAATAACAAAGAGGATGAATTTGATACTTTCGGAAAATATATAGCAATGTCTTTACGTACTTTGCCAGGTGAATTAGGCGTTATTGCAAAAACAGATATTCAAAAGGCATTATCAGATATTCAAATTAAGGCTTTAAGACAAAAAAGTCAAACTGTGCCGTTATTGTACCAAGCTTCGATGTCTTATGATCCTGATTCAGAGAGTCCCAGAAAACGTATTAAGCTTGAAGTGCCAGCGGAAGACCCTTAATCTTAAAACTTAAATATTAGGACTTAAATTATACTGACAAAAAAAATTAGACAAGCGAGTTTGTTGTCCACTTTTTTGGATTAAATTAAAAGCAGTGACTCGTACGACGGAGATAGATTTTCCAATATTAAAACATCACAGAATTGACAGCACGTGTGTACTTATTATTGGCAACTTCAAATTATTTTTAAATTGCAAAATAAATGGTATACATTCTTGAGTGTTTTGACTGTTTTCTCTTTAAATTAAGATATAAAAATTTATATGGTCTCCTTATGTACTTTGGTCCAAAAGTAGTAGATTAAATTAGTTGTACTCGTAAGTTTAACACAAAGTGTTACAGTCGCCTTTTGTGAATCTTTAAGCATTGTAATATAATTCAAATAAATAAATACAAAATCAATCGAAAATATGAATGATTTCATCCATTTGATGTTACACCTTTTCGTAGCTATGTTTGTTTGTGTAGAGTAACACATGTACGTCGCGCAGCTGACGTTCAGTTTACACGTTTCTATTCCGCAAAATATACCTATTTTTAGTGTCCTACATATGCACCACGAACGTTACGAAAGCAACCAACATGTGTCTCTCTCATTGTTCCTAATTCGTTAACTACGCAGCTCATCTATTACGTATGCACTCTACCAGTCAAGTTATAACCATCATGTGACTCTAGTTGTGTTTTGTTTGTTTATAGGGCACACCTATACGCTTCTTCTTTTTGTCTAACCAAACAACTGCTGCATTCAGAGTTGATGTTTACTAAAGCAGTCGATCAATGTAAATTCCTCTTACTATATCTACTTATGGAACATCTTTAATGACCAGTGGTCCTATAATGACTTTTGATCTTTTTGGCAATGTGTGTTTTGGCTGTTTTGGAAATCTGTGTATAATTTGCTGATCGATTTAAGTTACCTCATTGTTTGGATGATATAAGATTAGGGTTTCAGTCCTTTTTAATAAAATTGATTATAACAGTAGAGTTTCATACGGCCTTTGTATTCGTTAGTTTAAATTGACACATGTATGTTAGGTATGCATAGTTTTGTTATTTGCCGAGACCTTGATCTATGCAATATAACAAGCGAGAGCGCATTTTAACACAGCTTTGTAACCTATCACGACAACATGTCACGCGAATTGAATTTTGGAAAATTTTCCTGAGTAGCACTATTTTCGAAATTCATCACCTCTTTATTGAATGCTTTATTCGTGAACTAGATGGCATGTTGGACGTAACAAAGGATTAGACCTCTTGATAGTATTGATAAGGATGTTTTGAAGACACGAAACAATTAAGTTTATTCGCTTTCCCTTCTTTTCTACAAAAAAATGTAAGAAAGAACGTGTCACTAATGTGAATAACGATGTTGTTGATTAATAGCATCGGTCACGAGACATCGAGTCTTCTATTTGTTATTTATTAACATAAAAAAGAACTGAAAATATTGATGCCATTTTACGCTATAAATAGTATATTTAATAAAGTCTACAAAAGAAGATAAACCTTGAACCATCGCCGATTTACGATTTAATTAAAAAAATAAATATGTCATATGTATTCTTATGTATTTGTATATAAAGAGAAGCAAGTCTCGTAATGAAACGGAGTGCACAATGGCATCTTTATGTAACGGGCCACATACTAAGAGTCGGTAAGAAATGCTCCGATGACAGGCTACTGTATATAGCATAGCATTCCGAATAATGAGAACATACCACAGTATCTGTCATGGGAAAAACACAACGCACTTTTTACAATGCGATATTACTAAGGCAGGTTGTGATAATTCTAAATCCGAACTACGATAGGTCTGGAGTTCGATTCTCTAATTTAAATCTTACCTTAATGAAAAAAATCATGCAAAGATATTAGTTTGTGAAAATTTAAATCAATCGACAATTTTATGGCACTCATATGGTTGTGGCCTTCAACTGTAAGCCTTGAAAAACTTACTTAATACATATTGAGTTGACGTGATGATAATACTAATAAATATATACAGGCTTCTGAGAAGAATTCTTCATATATTCTTAAGTGTACTTAAAGTTAATTATGCTATTCTTTATTGTCATTCAATCAGTTACAATACAATTATGTAACTCGGTTACCTAAGAATAATTATTTCTTATTAATCAATGCAATCTAAAGGACGATTACAATAAAGTTAAAAAGAAAAATCTACATTAATTTTAAATGTAATCTTAAGACGTCATTGTTTAAAATTATTAAAATGGTGGTTCATACTGTCAACACAAAATATAATTCATTTATGTAAAAGTGAAAGTGTATATTTATACGTGGAATCAATCTATTTATAATATATAAAAATCAATTGCTGTTCGTTAGTCTCGCTAAAACTCGAGAACTGCTGAACGGATTTATGACGGTCTTGAAATGTTTGTGGAGGTCTAGGAAAGGTTTAAAAGGTGAGAAAAAATCGAATAATTGCCGGGAAAACCCCAAAAACAGCCCTTTTCCTTTTCAATATAAACTTTTTCTAAATAAAATGTACAGTCAATTTGAACTTTATTGACTAATTATGTTTCTTTTTAATTCCGCGCGGACGGAATCGCGGGCGACAGCAAGTTTTATGATAAAAATGTATTCAAATGATCGCATGTCAAAACAAAATGTAGCGTGCAAGTAACGCTCTCAGTGTTTTCTTTAACATGAAAACGGGTCGCGTACGATATCAAAACGTACCCATTAACCTCTGTAAGTACATACTTTTACTCTTGTGAAACCTCGAACATTGTCCCACATACGACGTAGCGAATCTCAATGTTCCGCACTCATCTATCCGTTCAGCCCACTTCTTTGCGTGGGCTATTGATTTTATATCACCAGAGTACTTAGACAGAATTAAGTTATTATGACATTTAAACATAAACATTGTATTACCAAAGTAGACGTCACATTTAAAATCTAATCTAATATATTCTAGGAATATGTGTGCATATTGACATTTGAGTTATACAAAGTTGAGTTATTGTACATGGTTTAGGTTCCCGGATTGTGATACAATAATATGACAGTTTGGTATTTGATCTTTAGAAGTAAATCTAATCGCTCGTCACGGATAAACTTATTGCGTTTGCACATGTATTATAATATTCATAATGTAATATAATAGAAATATACTTCAATTATTTTATTCCCACAAATAAAAGCACGTGGTTCTTCGATCCTTTTGTTTTCTCCCTCTCCGCCGTCTATCTGAAACGTAACTTTGATAGCTTTATACCAGACGTCTAGACGGGAACATATATATGTAAATATATATGATGGTCTACTCTGCTCCTTTTATAGGAATAGGGGATAACTAAAATTGTAGTATCGCAAATAGTGGACATAAAGGAGAGATTGATATTGAAATTTATATATATATAGATACTAGCGGTGACTCCGTCGCGCGAAATTAAAAAAGAACACTATAACTATGTGTTTTTCCTGACTATGTACTATGTGGATGCCAAATTTCATCGAGATTCGTTTTCACGTTCTAGAGTTACCTTCAAACAAACATCGATCTATCCATCCAAACATTCGCATTTATAATAGTAAGATAAGTAGTGGAAAAAGACTTACTCGTAGTCACTATTTATGCCAAATTTCAAACAGAATTTAAGATTATTTAAACCTGACCAAATCTTCGAGTAAACCTTTTAATTTTTTATATCACATGCAATAGTTGAAATGTTTTATACAGCGTTTGTACAGCTTAGAGTCGATTCACATAGTTAATTTAGGATATCTTCGGATACGGTGTCTTCGTTCATAACATGCTCCACTTCCTATAGAACTAATAAGACAATGAAAACTGGCGCAAACAGATTTCTCTTGAGAAAAATAATAAAAGAGGCTGACGGAACAATAATGGTAAGAGCGAAATGTAATTTCCCAGAATCCCGAGATTAAATCTAGCGTATTCTGCTATTAGAAACAGCTAGGTAACAGCTAGATGTAATCTCATAGAAATTGGATTCCTATTCGATATGTTCTAAACTATTGAATCATATTGATACAGTTCCAATGTAATACAGATACTGACCATAATATTAGTATTACGCCTAACTTCCTCCTATAGTTAATTTCTTGCTTAAGTGCTTGTTTAAGTTAAGAATTACATATTAACATTTAATATGTACTTGTGAAAATATTTAACTTTGCAATATTGTAGATAATATTATATACTTTTAAAAAAATAGCCAAGTTTGTAAGTTAATGACCGCAGTAATAAATTCACGAGGGAAAATGCTCGCACGCATTTCAAATTAGCGTGAGCCGGCGTTTAATTTTGCTTATCTATGTCTTTAATTAAAATTTGGAAACAACTGAACGAAAATGTTGGCTTCAGTATTATTGTAATTTAAATTATATTGAATCGTATTAAAATTATGACTTCCATAATATTATAGTATTTATTTATTTTAATCTATTGACAACAGAAACATTTTTTAAAGGACTACAAGTTTCATTAGCAAATGCTCCGAGCCTCTTAATCGGGAAGTATCGTAAGAGACGATAAAACTTCATCGGTGTTTCGCTTTGCAAGCACAAGCTAGTCAATATTAAGTACTTGACAATGAGATAATTAGGCTTAATCTACCATTCCAATTTACAATTGTTTTGTAACCAGACATTGCAATGACAGTGCTATCAACACGGTTATAATGATGTGTTCCTTTGTTTAAACATCAAAAAAGATATGATGCAATCGTTGCTTATACAATTTAAATATTTTTTTAACATTTTCAGACGTTGATACACCACAATTGAACATAGGCACAAAAGCATTACATTAATTTAATAAAGAGAAATATTGATAAAGACACTTAACTTGTTTTAGTTATTAATATTGTTAACGGCTGAATTTTGAAAATCGGTGAACAATAGCATACAATTTTGAAAAGGAGATTTATTACGGTCAAATTATTGAATCAACTTAATTTGAATATCTAAAATGATTTATTTCTAAGTTATCTGAACGTAAACAAGAACTTTGATATAAAAGCGAGTGTCGAGTCACATTCCTAAGGGCTTATTGTGTTACGCATAAATCTAAGTTTCGTTAATCAGAGTGGGCGCAGCGCTGTACCGGGTGCCATGTTCATAAATACATAATCGTACATATATACATACTTATGTAATATCGTGCCACGGCCAAATGACTTCACGCTTCGCCTGCTGTTGAGTTCAAGACTAGGTTCCTTATATGATATGCATCTGATTGCTACTGCATAAATAAAAATGCTTTATTTATTGGAAACTTTGAGGTTATAATTTTTTTTAATTAAGGTAGCTAAAGTTGATGTGGTTCGATTGACGGTTTGTGATTCAAAAAAACAAAAAAAAACGAATCAAGGACTATTAGTGAACTTTAGATATTTTAGTAATAGTATAATTTAATATCGATATGTAAATAATATTAGTCGTGTGGGATTCATGTAGGAGTGGAACTCGTTCTGGAATCACTTCTCGTTTTTATTATTATTCATCACTAAAAATATTACTTTGAATACGACTCTATTTAAAAAGCCGTTTTTTAAACTGTCAAAAATGTAATTCGCAAAAACCACTTTTTCCGGTTTTCTTTAAACATTTATTTTGGCAGAACACATCCTAATTGTTACTTTTACCAAACTTGTACCACCTAAATCTGCTTCCCACAGTTTACTTTTTATTCAACTCTTTCTATGTTTAACTTTAAATCTTCTAACTAAAATATAATTGATGTTTTGCTTAGGTTTTATTTATTTTTTTGCATAGGGAGAAAATGTTAACAGTTAACACCGGGCATTTTAACTACCATTACAAGGGGAACCCAAATCGTTTATTGTCAGCTGCAGATATATTCTAACGTTTTTAAACAAAATTGTACTTCGAATTGAAATCAAATAATTAATGATCTTAAAAGTACGTCTTATATGTATCATGGTGACATCTGGGATTTTTGATTTTATATTCTTACCAATTTTAAACGTTTTTAGGAAAATTGTAGTTAGATAAGCTTATTACTTGTTTTTATATAACAATGAGAAAATATATTCGACAATATGGCTTATGATCTCGTAACATTGGATAACAAGCGTCGTTTGCTCAAAATGAAGCTTGTCCATTATCATTTGCACTTCTTGACGGGTTGCGTGTAAGAGGCAATTGTTTTGTCAATCCTTAACAAGCTGTATTAGATAATACCGTCAAAAAATAGTCTATTATCTCTTGTCTCGTGATATCGTTTTATTCATTTTAGTTTAGTCTCGGTGGAAATCTTATTAATACTCTATTATAAAGGTGAATGTTTAGATGGATGATTGTTTGTTTGAAGATATCTCCGGAAAGGCTCAACGGATCTCGCTGAAATTTTGCACAGATGTAGAATATAGTCTGGAAGAACACACTACATACTTATTAGTTTTTTTTTAATTCTACGCGCACGGAGTCGCGGGCGACCTACGGGTATTTCAATAATTTGTAGTAGCAACATTTATGCATTCTTGTGAGAGCTTTTAAGAATTACTGTAAGTGAAAAAACTACAGATGAAATGGCTACTACAAAGTGGGTAACTTTGTTGTATTAAGAGTTACTTGAATATTAAGTCAAGTATTATGCTATCGTATTGAAAGTTTCGTGTCGATGGAGCCTTAGCTGTCCGATGCACCGGAAGAGCGGTGTCGGCTGCTGGCCGAATTCGGTCCGCAACGGGACCGCGTCGCTAATAACGAACAGCCGTCGCGACACCTAGTAACAGGGTCGGACAGCCTTTTACATTTTATAATATATTTTTGCATTAATCATAACTAGCTGTCGCCCGCGCGGAATTAAAAAAAATAGTAGCCAATGTGTTCTTCCAAGCTAAGTTCTACATCGATACCAAATTTCATCAAGATCTATTGAGCTGTTCCGGACATACCTTCAAACAAACCATCCATCTAAACATTCGCATTTATAATATTAGTACGATTATTTACGATAAAATTTACGAAGTCCAGATGATGATATGACAAAAAATCTGCATTTTAATCGTACAATATAAGAAACAAAATTGCGTATCATACTTTCATCATACTATTATATATAATTTTATAATGATTCAGTTATCATCGTCTGACACTGAGGTCATTTATTTCGGTTACAGACCACCCAATAATGCTACAATAAGGAAATATATTGCCCTAAATCTCAATGGAGCACAGTTTCCTTTTAAAAAGTAGTTTTATTGTTTTTTTTCCTATTAAATGAATTAATAATAAAAATAATGGATTAACTGTAAATGTTGGAAAAAAGTTTAATCCTCATAATGTTAATTCTAACAACTGTATTAAACAGCTTTTCCTAAAACTAATATGAATTATGAGAATTGGAATAAAAATAAACTCTTTGAAACCTATAGATTTACTAGTACAGCCCTGACCGTGCTTGTCAACCTAATAACTAAACGCTCTACCGACACCGCACTGTACAATGAAGTATTGAATTACAATAGAATCTAGTACACTTTTTTTATTATCTATTGACTTGTTTCTCTGTACGGTGAACTAATCGATGGAGCGTTTTATTATCTGAAACAATAGTAGAAAAACTACCATAAAATACATTCAAAATCTTTTGTTTAAGAATTAACAATAAACAAATAAATAGGGAACAATAATTATATCTGTACCACGAAAAACGGATTATAATAAAACATTTTAATCTTTGTCGATATACCAAAGGTTTTTATAGCCGTTTTTGGGGTTGCAAGGAATAATAACTAATGACACTTAATAATATGAACCACTAAGAAAATGTAATATGAATAATTTCATATTTGTAAGGAAGTAATAACGAATTCTTTGTTTAAATACAACCTAAACGTTGGTCCGTTGTGGATTTGTGCTCGAAATGCAATTTATCGTCGGTCCCCCGATTCTATTTGACCGTGGGGTGACGTCGATAACAAAGATGGCCCCCGGTTCATAGAGCAGGGAATTTAATATCACTATCTTGTCCGCAACAGACCGCTCGTATACTATTGATATATTTGTTATTCGTGAACTCATGCAAACCATATGATCACATACAACGTAAATATTTTTAGACAATCCCTTACTTTTTTTTCTCGTATTAATTAATTACTGCTCCTACATTTCTTCTTCAACTCATGAGCCCTTAACTTTATCCCCGGTATCCTACACTCCTGCCTGATTATTTTGTAATTATACTTAAACGTACGTAAAGATTACCGTTTACTACATAAGAAAATGTAGTAGACGACGACTAAAACGCATGTCTTTCCAATATCAAATTTGGTTCTTTTTTCGTTTTGATGACTGATCGATTCGTGTTGAGAATGAAGGATACAGCTAGACATTAAACCGCCGTGAAGAGCTTAATAAAGCGTGCGCTCGACGCATCCGAGTCATTAGACAGTCTCCACACGCAAACTTGAACGCTAACCGTTTAAAAGAGCGCTTTGAATTTTTCTACACCGTATAAAATGGTTAAGGATCGTTCACACTAGCCACATTTATTGTAGTCACGAGAATTAACAACGTTACCGCTAGCTCAATTTCAGTAGAATAAAGAGAAGAATGATATATAATAGGGAGAAACAAAAAGGGACAAATAAAAAGATTAAATGCAAACTATTGTACATTTACCTGAAAGTGTTTTATTTTCTTTTTTTTATTCATACATACATTAGAGTGATGTCATCTTTACAAGTAAAGTAATCGTAGTAAAGCGGGAATAGATGCAGCTCGTTGCGCTTGGCGGGATGTCGTCACGGCACGACGCGATGCGATGCAATGCGACACACATGGCTTACTTCAATGTCTATGTACACAATGTCTATCAATCTGATATTACTCACCTGAGTTGATTTTAAATAATAGTTCTAGATTTAGTACACTGAATACTTCTTTGCGGACAAGCAGTGCATTATTTCTTTGTTGGACACGACTTAATTCTTAATTGGCGTAACAATATTCTAATAGGGTTTTTGAGCGATTTCAAGGATCATTAATAGGTAATATTTTGCCGCTTTAAACAAAAAAAATAGATTTATATTTGTAAGATGTTCGTCACAATATAACGTGAATAAATAAAATAAACTCATCTGATGTTTATAATTTTAGAAACACATAAAATGACCGGCCAGCACGTAGCATTACAAGTTAAATAAACAAAATCTGTGTTGTCTGTGTTGATCGTGCGTTAGTTACAATTAACACAGAGCTCGGCTCGGTGGCAGCGTGGCCGGACGTCGGTTGTTTACCGAAAACCTACGCGCAGTGGGCGTTGAAATCGTGGTCACTTTTTACATATAAACATGGTGTCTTCATAAAAACTTAATCCAAATAACTTCGATATAAACACAACGGTTGCCAGGCCAGCTGTATGAACGTGTAGCGTTTGCTCTTAAGTGGTAATAAAATTGTACCTAATTATAACTATGAGCCTTTAATGTACCTACTAACAAGTGGATCTTTATTTGGTATGCCTATTATTGAAGTAAAGTTACATCTCAATATCAACAAATCCAACAATACAAAACTGCTATTTGAATTCAAGGGTTAAGTTGGTAGATAACAAAAGAGTATGATCCATCCGTCCTGACAATTTTTTTATGAATGTTAACCATGAAAACGACAAAATCCCAGACAAATTGATGAATTTTCACCGTTCTCTATCACATTATTTATATTCTTGTATTAATATTGTACAGTCATCTCAGCGTCAGACGGGAATACTTCCGACAAGGGGCGCTACGTTTCGCATACAAATTGAAGGAATTTCATTATAACTCTGTCGGACGGAGTCAAAGCGTTTGATAGATTCGCTGCAGATTTTTTTCATTGCCATTGCACATTGCATTCGTACAAAAACAAATACACATAAAAGCCTTCATATACCGCAAACAAACTTGTTTTTACTGCTCTTGACATTCGTACTTTCTGTCGAACATTGACTTGATTGTTCAATCCTTAAGTTATTCTAATATACCTCTCTCATAAATTTCAGTAGTTTAAAGTATGGGAGCGCCAGCATGGGGGTCGCGCGGCGGCGATCGTCCGCGGCTGCTGCGGATGACGCCGCTACGCCACAGCTTCGCTGCGCCCGCCACGCCGCCCGCGCCGCAACCCCCGCCGCGCACGCACGACTACGCCTCTGACGCTGATACTAATAAGAAAGGTAACTTCCGCATTCAATGCCGTGTATACATTACGTATTATGTAAGTACTCTTTTAACACATTTATTTAAATTTTCAGAAGATAGTTGGAATGCAAACCTATCACAGAGATGGAGAAAGCTGCGTCGGCGTTGTTCGAGGCTGCGCCCCGGTTCCGGCAATCGCGAGCCAAGCCCCGTGCGCTGCTCTCCCTCCCCGCCGCGCCCGCCTCCGCATTGTTCCCCCGCGCCGCCCGCTAAGCTCTCATTTAGGCACCGTGGCAAGGTCTACACCACCGCGTCCCTTCGCGTCACCAGCGGAGCCCCGGACTTATTGAGAGCTCTGGGTAAACTCGGAGGAGGCCTGCGTCGACGAGCACTATCGGCCCACGACGTCCTCGCGCCACCACAACAACAGCCGGCTACATTCTACGTGCCCAGTCCGACGACGGACCGACAAGCTTCTTCGCCATCTCCGCCCAGGCAATCGGCAACACTCCGACGACGATGCAGCTCCCCTAACGTGTACAGAGCTAATAAAGACGCGCCTCGTGATCGAGCACCCCTTATTCACGACGACGAAAACCGAGACGTGGTCGATTACAGTTACGGTATGGACCACAGGAGAAGCTGCAAAGACGTTAGAAGTAGACCGTACAGCGAGAACGTGGAGTTAGATGTTCCATGTCGGAACGGTTACAATCGTCTGACAGCGAACATGTCGGACAGGCTGTGGGAGGAGCCGTACAGGTTACCACGAGTGCAGGCGCGACAGGAGCCGATGCAGCAACTGCGCAACGGCGTGGCCGAACTGCGGGTGAGCGCCGCACCCCGTACACCACGCACACCGCGCCCTCCCCCCGCGCCTCCTGCCGCGGTGCCTAAGCCGAACAAGCGGCCACCAGCCCCTGAGCCAAGAGACGCGCACACGTTTGAGGTATGTATTGTATGACCTTTTTTATTATAATAAATTAACATTTTTTGATAACTGTTTTAAGTTATTATTTGGTTATAGAATATTTAAAGACTGAAAGAATTTGTGATAATTTCCAGGTGCGATTCACAAAATCAGCTGGCGGGAAAGGACTCGGTTTTAGCATAGTGGGTGGTCGAGACTCGCCGCGTGGTGACATGGGCATATTCGTCAAGACAATATTCAATAACGGACAGGCGGCTGAATCTGGTCTACTGCGGGAAGGTGAGCATGTCTAATTATTGGAGAACTTTATGTGATAATTAAAAACGTGTCATAAGCAATAAGATTGGATTAAACTAAATGCTACTAAGAGTAGTTAATGATCCACGTTAAAGTACATTTTAACAAACGTAGAAATATTCATTTCCCAGTGAAGGTGAACATTCCTGAGTGACGGTTTGACGCCAGCTGCATAGTTTATTGCAACTGCATCTAACGACTTTCGCCCACCTGCCCTCGCGCCCTCACAACTTTGTTTTTTTATTACCTAGCCTAAATAACGAGGTTACTCTTTTTAAATAAAAATACACACCTTTTCTTTGCTACTAAATTGCATCTTAATCTACAAGGCTCTAAAGATGTAATTGGATGTAGATTGTTTAACATTTTCAACATTTTTCTTATTACAATGTCAAAAAGCTTTTACGGCTGCATCAAGTTAGCATTTTATTAGTCCTTAAGGAATAAAAAAATGATTATATTCCCGGTTCTATAGGTTTATGTTGTATCTAATCTTAATAAATTAAAATAATATCTTAGTAAGCTAATAAGAATGGCTTATCCATTTCAATTAATTTTAATGTTCTCTCACTCTCTAGTGTTACTAATGTAAGCTTATGTATTTTTTTTTGTATTTTGCAGGAGATGAAATACTGTCAGTAAACGGACGAGGAACTGCAGGACTGACTCATGGTGAAGCTATAAGATTGTTCAAGGATGTACGAGCCGGTCCAGTACTCATCAGGGTGACAAGGAGAGCGCCTGTTCGCTGACTGCCCTGCGCCTGCTGCGGTGACTCGTCACCGCTCCAGGCGCCGGAACCCTCCAGCTATTCTACTTTATAAATTCCCGATAGATGTCGCTAACAAATCTGACAAATATCTGTGTGGTTTCAATGTTATTCGATAGATGACGCTTTAATATATGGACGAGCAAAACTGAAGTTGTGGTAACTTCAAAGTGGAAAATGTGTATGGTATAGTAAAAACTATTGATATATAGTAACGTTGAAGTGAAATAAGAACTAATTGTATCATTTGTATGTACTCACGGTAATGTATAGCAAGCTATGTTTAATCTTACTATATATTGAATAAAATATTAATTATCGTTGTAAGCATTTTACATAAAAAGATTTTTTTTTATTTCAAATAAATATTAAATTTGGAATTTTAGATCTTTTCAAAGTCGAACAAATACAAGTACAGATCATTTTACTATTGTACATTGCACAATAAATAGTATTAAGTACATAACATATTATGTACGTAAAAGGTAAGGAATGAATTCCCTATTGGAATTATTGTAGTCGAATATCACAAGATATTACCAAAGACAATATAAAAAAATCTTATCAAATCAATATTTTCTACTTATGAAACTATGTAAAATATATTTTTATATTTGCGTGTATTTTTGACATCGTTTTAGTATTACAATATGATAACAATTAAAAAAAAGATCTGAAAAATTACAGCGCCTTGCGATTCATTGACGATGCTGATATATATTTGACTATTATTCTTAATCAGAATGTAATTACCGGACTTAGTGTGCTTTAATAAATAAATAAAATTAAAAAAATAAAAGGTCTGCCTAAGTAACAGAGTTTAAGTGTGGCTGTAAGAAACATTTCTTGAAATATGATAATAAAATAATTTTATTTCGTAATGTGTTCACATTAACATTCTTTTCATCAATGCAAATTTCATTTTATTTATATTTGGATGAAGGATTAGTCAGATGTTTATTAAGTTATGAAATGTAAAAGGTAATAAAGTATCGTAATGTTTTGTAAAACGGATTTTTAAAACCTTGTATAGATATTTTATTATGCTTACGTAGATACAGCTTTCCCAAAGCTATTGATAAACACTACACAATTTGGATAAAATTGTCTGTGATAAATAAATTCAAAGTTAATTTGAATATAAAGAGCCTAGTATTTAGATTATTTATTTTTATACCTAGAAACTAGTTTTGTTAACGTATGTATTTTGTATTAAAACTAGTATTTATAATGTTAACTAACATAGAAAGTAATAACATCGTGAAATGCTTTACATTTGTTTAGTTTTTTAAAAGCAATATAATACTAAGTATATTTATAACTAAGCAAATTATTTAGAATTATACGCTTCAAACTAATCTACCAAATAAAGTTTTACAATGACAATTTATTCCTTTATTCTTGCCAAAGATATTTAGTTACATACAAGCTGTCGCCCGCGACTTCGTCCGCGCGGAATTAAAAAATAACATAATAAGTACCCTATGTGTTCTTCTAGACTGTGTTCTACATCTGTGCCACTTTTCATCAAGATCCGTTGAACGGTTCCGGAGATACCTTCAAACAAACATCCATCTATCCATCTAAATATTTGCATTTATAATATTAGTAAGATATCAGACAGGACTTTAAGTATCAAACCGTACGCTCAATGAACTCTACTATTGGTAGAGTTTCGATTGTCTTACTTGTGTCAGATGGTGGTACTGACAACTATGTGCAAACAATCTTTAAAAAAAATTAAGGAAAGTACTCATAATGTCAGCTCTATAATTAGTATTACATTTCTCTTTGATATTACAGAGGTAAAGTAGAGTCCATTCATGTCAGATATCCAGGGGTGGAAGTTTCAAAGAAATCAGCAGTCATATGCATATTTGAGTTCGTATATTTGAAGCAGTTTCCAAACTACTTCTTAGCTCATCAAATCAAAACTTTTCGAGAGCAGCAAGTTTTAATTTAATAAGTTTTGATTGCAGTACATATATCATTTTAGTAGCTAACTTTAGACGCTGTAAGTTAATCCCAAAATATAAGATTATAACTGGCAGATCTATTGAATACGTAGTTACATTCTATTATAAAAAAAATCCAACCATCCATCCAAACACCTTTAAAATATTAGGTTTACTGCTTTTTATCTTAATCCATGAAAAATATGAGTTCAAATATTAACTTACCACAACTTCGCATTCATTTATGTAAAAAAAAAAATTATGTTATTTGAGACAATTCTACAAATAAGAATTGTCTTCATATGTATTCCTTACGACCAGTTTATTTTAAATGCAACCTTTTTATACTCGTTTCTTCCAATATTTTTTAAATTGTACACTTTCAGTCGTATACAATCATTGTTTCGTTTTTTAGTGAGACGAAGAAAAAATAAACAGCCTGATTCTTTAATAAAGCAACCTTAACATAAATACCAATTATTTTTATTTAAAAATATCGGTACCAATCTCGTTTATTACCATAATTTTATTTTTTTAATATTTAGCACAAGAACCTTGTTTTCTTTGTAAGTATATTCGTCAGTGTTTATCGAACAAACACCGTTATTTGGTCTCATAACATCACTAATTGCACTAAATATAGAAACATCACTTAAAAGTGTTTAAAAATACAGTATTCGTTAACTGTACTTCATCGAAAAACCTTTTTCACTTTTTTATTACATTTTAATAAAGAAATTGAATTATTACACACGAGAAGTAAAAGTAGTAAGTATAGGTACCCAACCCAATGCACATATTTATGAAATAACTAGCGGTCGCCCGCGATACCGTCCGCGCGGAATTTAAAAAAACATAATTAGTAGCTTATATGTCCTTCCACTATGTTCAATATGTACGCCGAATTTCGTCGAGATTCGTTCAACCGTTCTGGAGATACCTTCAAACAAAGATCCATCGATCAATCCAAACATTATTTATAATGTTAGTGCAATTAACGCGTGATAAAGTTTTTATAGCATTGCGTTTGTTCTCTTAATCTGACTTTTTACCATTAAACGATACGCATAAGCAACGATAAGCATTTTATGCTGTTTTCTTTTTTAAATCTTATCAAACAGAGACCAAATCATCTTTAATGCATTCGTTTCGTAAATTTTTCTCCAATCGTAACAGATAATTCTTTTAAAATTTGCAACTTTAAAGTGATGCAATAAGTTCTGCAGCGAACCTGCATTACATCTGCAGCAAACTTTATTGCAATTTGCAACATCACGACTTTAAATCATTTGTGTAAACTGTCTGTTCACTTCGTTTATTTTAAGTTAATGTATTTATTTCGGTACCTTGTGCGAGTTATGTCAAACCTTAATTAATCATTATCGACAGGAATATAACAGCTTTTTTAAATAACTACACAAAAAGTTACTTACGGGTAAAGAAAACAAAAATAGAAAAATGTATCATGTTTATTAACGTTACAAGAATATAATTTTGTCAATATAAATATAGGTTTTTATATTACTCAAGTAATCAATACAAAATAAGTACTAAATAGGTATTGTTGTTTTAATGTTTGTAACAATTTAAAAAATGATAATAAAAACTATATACAATTATTTGTTAATCAAGTTACAAACTAAGTTAATGGTAAGATACGGCTTGGGTACATGAATATTAATGGCAAGTGAATTGAAGCAAGATATTCCTTGAATGTTATAAATGATTATTTACTTAATTGGTTAAACAAAATTATAATATACTGTTTGCAAACATTGACTGGGTTACAAAGCACGTAAGTTACTATCCTTTCTTAAAATAATTGAGATTAAAATTGTTTAAATCGTTGTAGTACCAAATGAAAAATATTTTAAAATGTTAGTGAATATTTCTAGACATTTATTTCAAGATGGCACTCAACAATATATCGATGTATTCGTCTTTTTATTCAATACCTATATTTAAGTACAATGCCTAGTATTAAGAAATGTTTAACATCACAAAATTTCATTGTACAGACTAGTTTTATATTAATCGAATTAATAAATAAACAATTTAACAAATAAAATGGGATACAGTCTTAAAAAGGTCCTACGTAAGAAAATATATTTGTATCATGTTAGGATTAAATTGTAAGTAATAAAGAGTAATTTCTATTTACAAAAATCTAAACAATACTGACTAATGCATGTAACAAGTTACTTACTTGTCGTTGCTTTCAATATCAAAATTATTATGTCTCAACTTAATCTATTCTTTTTATCTTTTATTGTTTTATAAAAAAAAATATTACGTAAGTATGTAAATATCAAAATATTCCCTCTTTCAGTCATCATCACATTCATTCGCCTTGGGCAACTGATCCAAACAATCTCCATTCACTATATACTACTTAGATAGTTCAACCTACCATGGTGCATGGAGGTTTAGTTCCTTTTACAAGCATACACACTGAGCGCCAAGCTAAGTTGAATCATCTACGTGTACCTTTAACACATCCAAAAAGCTGTTCTTTAACGATAACATCAGGCTTTAGTACCCTTAGGATTTCTTAGTACCAAGGCAACAGGACCGGCGGGCAACGATTTCAAAGCTGCCCAAGCTTGGGTTCGCGTGAATGTCTCCATAGACTGACCCCCAGCGGAAAGAAGTTCTGCACCGACAAGAATACGACCGCTTTGAGCAGCCGCGCCACCTAGAAAATAAAAATAAAATTGTTAAATTATCTTAAATGATAAAAGAGATATCAATAATTTGATTTAAGATTACCATTAAACTTAATAATAATCTCTAGAGAACAATGTCCGACATTAATTTTCACATAAAGATCGAGCAATAATAAAGTTCAAAAAATACCTGCAAACAGTTTTTTGATAGTCAAAGGCCGGTCACCGTGCGGCGAATCCCGACCACCGTCTAAGCCGAAACCGAGTCCTGTCCCACCGCCGGCTTTCTCCAGTATTACAGTAACTATATCACTGGAGCTATCTTCTTTGACGGGTACTTCGTCCCTCTTATGACGATCCTTCGACTCCGCTGTTAAGATAAAAGCATAATGTTAAGACCGAATTGTATTATAAATGGTTTCTTCTTTCATCATTTCTATTGTTAGATTTCATATTGTACCTTTTTCAGAGCCGCATCCCGTTTTACTGTCGTTTGTTGCGGTTTCATCCTCAATTTCAATAATTACTTCAGAACGTTGTTCCTGTGAACAAAACGAAAACTTAGTCCAATATACTAATAACATTTACTCGCCTGAATGTGATTGAGGCTAACTGTTGTATTTTTTCGTAGTAAAATACCTTAAGAATTGTGACTGATTGCGCGTGCGTAAGACCTATCATAGTACAGCCATTTATGGCTTTAATTTTTGCTCCTCTCTTCAGACCTGCTTTTGCTGCTACACTGTCAGCCAAAACACGATGTACCTAAAATATATAAAAATTACTCAATATTACATAGAACATACGATTGATTACTAATTAATTTAATTTAAAATATTTTTAACAACAATATACAAGTACTTTTTTTTCATTTTTGAAATACTAACCGTAACGTCCTTTGCTTCGCAATCTGTGCCCCCAGCCAGTATAACTCCTACGCCCGAGCCAACTGCTTTCTTCAGCCTGATTATGGAAGTCGAAGTCTTGGACTGATCATTAAGTTTGTTGTCAATTTTGTTATTACTCACTTCTTTTTTATTGTTAATAATTTTATCAGACTTTTCATAAGCCAATAATGGCTTCACATTATCGACAACGTCAATATTGCTTGTAACAGTTTTCTTTGTCGTTACGGTTTCAATCTCTTTCCTTTTTTGAACCTCAT